TCCAACCTTAGTGATTCTGTGATTCTGTGATTCTGTGAAAAAGATCAACTGAAGGGAAAATTTCTTAATTAAAATTACAGCTATCCAGACTCAACAGTGAGCAGAGTAAGTGTTGTAATTTCAATTACAAATCTAACTTTAAAAATCCAAAAATGTCCAAAGTAAGTCGTAAGTAAGTAAGTAGTCATAAACTTACAAACAGTTGACACAGTTTCTTGTAACACATACTCTCAGTTTAAATATATTTGCATAGGAGTTGCAGAGGTTTTATTTTAGACTTAATAGGTGACTATATGTAAAGGAAATATTTGTAATGTCATAAAAATCCAAATCTATACAATTAAAGATACAATACAGGAGATTAAGAAAAATTTATTACCTGGTATCTCTGTAGCGCGAACTTGACTGAGGAGGGCTGTGATTTAGTCTTCTGGAGAACTTCTTTTCTCGCTCTTCCTCTTTAACAATCTGAATTTCAATTGTATACATTAGATCAAAGCATTAGAACACTATACAAAAGACTTCTACACAATCAAATAAAAACAAAAATCTCAAATACTGAGTCTGCAGCAACAGTTGAAATGGAACAAGATTTTTACTTCTAATACAATAATATAGTAAATTTCAAATTTCTGAGAATATTCAGAACACTGTTTGAGAGAAGATAAAGTAGCATAAGAAATGTTTATTATGCTGCACTGAAAATACGTCTACTTTTGATACAGGTGGAGAAATCCATATGGAGGTACAGTGAATGACCTGGGTGCACAGGAATGTTCCGTGAGTGGCATAATAATGTCTTTTCAGCAGGTTACCTTGTTGACATAACGGTTAAACACTCCAAACCAAACCTACACAACTGCTGATAAAGGGCTAACCTACTCTACTCTGGGTCACAGAACCATACAAACACCAGTGCCAGAACGTCTCCAGGATCAAGTAGCTGAAGGAATGAGGACTGTCATTTGGAATGGCAAATTAAAAGGGCAGCATTAATTAGAGCAGTCTCCTGAGCAAAGAACTATTGCAGGCTGTACCACACAATCTACATCACCCAGGAACTCTGTTTCCATTTCCACATTAAGAACCATTTTGATTTATTCAGGAAATTATATTACCTATGAGCTTATGTTCAGAAACACTGTGTTCAACATACGAGGCATGAACTGCCAGCCATTTTAAAGCTGCAGTGCAAATTCTGAGACTAAACTTGGGACTGTTAATAAACACACATGATGAAGCTGAACCAAAGCAATCAGAATGAAGAAAAAAGGAACATAGATAAAATAATGTCAGTGCTTACCTCTTCCTTTTTTGTCTCTTTCTCCTGGTGCTGAAAGAACTCTACTTTTAGGCTTCCTGATGATGGCTGTTCTGGTGGAGGTAGATAGCTTTTTGTATTCACAGCATCAAACAGTTTTTCCACAAATATCTGAGTTTCTAAAAGTAAATAATAAAAATAAATATTCAGTATTCAAAACTAACATTTGCTTTTAAAAACTAAAAACGTTCACGTAAAAGTTAAAACAATTACTTGCACTTAAAAAAAAAAAACTTCACTTCTATACCTCTTATTTTGAAAGGTCTTTTTACAAGGTCAAGAAACATGTCAATAATGACAATGTCTCATATAGGCATTCAACTGCAGTATTTTTGTTATCTTCTTATCAACCATCTAGAAGAACATTTTTTAATATATATAGAGATTCAGTGTTTCTAATTTAGGCAGTAATTCTTAACATCCTTAATTTTCCTCCAGGAATAAAAAAAGACAAAAAACACACATGTAAAAAACAAAAACAAAACAAAACAAAACCCTATAAATTGCACTATACACCTGTGGTTTTGTATTTTTTTTTTTTTTAATTATTCCTTCATGCACATTGAATTACATATTTCCAACTAACAAAGATGATGAAGAAATAAACACAGCATTCTACATTAAAAGTTTGTTTGAAATAAAATTTTTAAGGTTAAGAATCACAACAAACACCATACCTTTCTGAAGAAATACATCCAGCTGATCAACACACAATGCCTTCAGCTCCTTTTCACTTTTATCCTTCTTTACCAAAGCCAGAACATATTTAGCTAGGGCAGATGGATCTGCATCACATCTGCAAACAGATTAACAAAAACATACAGAAGAGATTAAATTATAAAACTGAATGTCTGAAACTGGTATCACCAATTTCATATAGAAGATCAAAATTTTTCCTTGTAGAGTAATTGAAAAATATCCAGGGGGTATTTTCTAAGAGTGAGTCCAGAGATGAAAGATCACTAAGCATCACATTTTGCTCCAGAGAAGTGATTCCCTAGAAATGAGATTTCCAAACAGTACTCCACAGATCATTTCAAAGCAAACTAGAATGAACTATTTAGGGTAAAACTGCTTCAACTGCCTAATAGTCCTGAAGAATAATAAAAGCTACAATAAGTACTTCCATAATTTCTCTATTATGAAATCAGTGAAGATAGATCTGTAGTACTGAGCAACTCTTAATGGTGTAAAGTTAGCCTACGTAATTAGAAATGAAAGCAGTAACACAGCAGAAGTGATGCTACTGAAATGAAAAGGAAGATTTACCATATGCACACTGATGATGTGCTGCAGACAGCAAGGAGTGATGATCAAAGTTAATACTACTACTTCAGTAATAGTTTTAAGAAACCAATGAGGAAAGACAATTGCACTGATGCTTCCTAACCGTACATTCTCTGTATCAAAAATAACTGTGAAATGAGTGAAATTAAAATATACTCAGGGAGTCGCAATGAATTTAAGTATTATATAAACACTGTTCCAGTGAATAAGACCACAATGACTGAAAAGAACAGCTACTCCCAACCTATTCTACATTAAAACAAATGAAATTTCAGCACTGAGGTTTAATTAAAAGTCTTACTGCTGATAACTTAAATGACACGTGTTTTAGGCCCTGAACACACATCCTCCACAATATCATACATATCACACCACACAATTCCTTTTCTCAAAGAAGCTATCTCAAGTGCCACATCCTCCACACAAACATATCCATTAAGCAAAGGAAGCAGATCTGCCAGCATCTGTCTTAAGTAGACCCTAAGGATACCCTGGGCTCAGAATAGTGCTCTCTAACGTTAGAGGTCAAAGCTTCAAACATAATTCAGTACCCTGCAGAAAGCAGGCAACAGCAGTATTTCATGCTGCAGAAGCAACGTGAGCTGTTAGGGGACACAGCACAATTTTCTGTATTAGCTTGCATTATTTATAGATATAGGAGATGGGAGTTTACAATCAGTTTCAACTCCAAAAGAATCCACACAGACAAAACCAGCAAAACACAAACTGCACAAATTGTACACTGTCAGTTGAGTAACAGGCTGCACAAAGACTGAAATATCTTCTAAATTTTTTTCTCCTGAGTATCACACCTGGTTTACCCTAGTTCAGATTTAATAACGTTTACCTACAACAAGAATGCTGCCCAAGCACCAAGTCACCTCGGAAACAGGAACATCACTTCATATATTGAGAATGGCAGAACTGCTCTTGTACTGCTAGCATGTGAGCACATCACCCACCCAGACCATCTGGAAGCCGAGATCTAACGGTTGTCTGTACACTGAGGTAGCTGGCAGGGAGGGTTCTCATCCAAGAGAGCCCCAGAGGGCCTAAATTCTACCACCTCTCAACTTCTGAATGCATGAATTTGAAAAAATTCTACGATTATCTGACTTGCATGTCACTACACAGAATTTGCATTCTTTTCCAAGCTTAGAACTGGATGATGCCTCAGAAAATTACAGTGCTATTTTCATTTTTTCTACCAACAGTCATAAAAGGAAAGTAATTTGGAGAGGAGGGGAAAATTTACACATGATAATCCTTTTTGTTGTTGTTGCTGTTTCTGTTCTTCACAAATATTAGATAAAATATAAGCTGAATTTTTATTTGAATTCTCACCATTTTTTGTAACACAAAGTTACAACATTAATGTGTCATGACATTAGTCATAACTACTCAGTGAACAACAGCAACAAAAAAGAGTTAGTCCAAAAAAGTAAAAAGCCACAAATGTCAGTTACTGCAGTTTATTAAATCACCAGCTGCTAGAGTAGTGACTATAAGACAGCTTCATATTCAGCTTAAAATAATTCCTTTTCCATAATAAGAACAGAAAATACAAACTCTTGTCTGGAAAGCCATCTAGATTCCAAAAGCTCTAACATTAACACACACTACATACATACAGTCAGTGCTTTTTTCTCCTCATCCCTCACGGTAACCTCAGAATGTCATTCCATGCACTGAACTAACTCCAAAACACTCTGAAGAAAATATCCCCAATAAAAATGTACAATAATTTCGAAAAGACAGAATCACCTTCTCCTGTGGCACTGTTTTATAATTTGTCATCCCATACGTGGTAATACCACGTATAAACAAAACATATGTACTAAGTTCTAACATTACTATTCAGTATATAAGCACTGAAATTCTCCTATACATAACCAGGAGAGCTTACCTGCTAATAAAGTAAAAATATGCATTTATTTTTGGTCATTAAAAAAAAATTTTTTTGAGAAATACTAGCACAGACCAATTACTTCATAATGCATTTTGTAGTAAATAAGATGGAGAAAATCTTTTCATAAATGAACAGCACGCTAATTATTTTAGATACATTTACAGTATGTGTACAGTAAGTTTACAGCAAGATCTTTCCTTGTCACTGGTTTTCAGAGGGTTTTCTTCCCAGAAGATGATGGAAAAATTATATTGTTAGCTACATGAATTGGTGGAACAGAGGAATAAGAGATCACAAAAAAACTTTTACTTTACAAAACTATGGATACAGTCTGATAATCTGTTTTCTAGCTATTACAGTTCTGGGGGAGGGTTGCTTTCACAAAAAGCAATTCCTTCGGACTTTCTCACTACCAAGAGAATTCTGAAATACTGTGTATAAATTCTCCATCCTCAGTTCTGTCAAAATCTGTCGGGTTGGATTATGGGAGGCCTGCTTGTATGCAGTATGTATATTCTCTAATTTAACTATCTTTTCTTACAGAATGGGAGTCTGTGTGTAAGTAAACATAATATACTTGTAGTATCTTTACTGTGCACACATGAATGTTTCATCCGTTTTGAGCTAGTTTCTTCAGCTTTCCTAAGCTCTTTGACTTGTATCTTACACTCTAATAGACAACAATGCTTTATTAAGCAATGCCTCTTTAACAAAAACAGGAAAGGCACCCATGCTGCAGCAGCTGAATATACTGTGCAGTATAAGGGATTCATCATACAGCCTTCTTGTACACTAAGAAGTTCAACATGAGGAAGGTCCCTATTTGACTGTTTAGAAAAAATACAAAAATGAGATTACTACCTACGAATTTCAAATAGTTTAAGCAGCCCTTCCAATTTTACAATAAATTTACACTTCAATTACAGCATTCACTGAGTATTACACATTTTCAATTGCTAAGCTTGAACCCTTAGCTTAACCTGAATATGGTGCAGGACATCAATGACTTCAGGAAAAATCAAATACATGCAGTAAAAGTCTGACAAGTTCAGATTCAACTTCATTCCTATGCTAACATTTGGTTACTAGAAAAACATTTATATGATTTTAAACAAGTAAAATAACATTTCTCAACTTTAAATCTTCTACCGATGTTCCTTTAAGTTTTCATAAGCCTCTGCTAAACACAACAATAATCACACAATTTTCTCATCTTATTATTTTTCTAAAATCACAGAATCACAGAATTGTAGGGGTTGGAAAGGACGTCCAGAGATCATCGAGTCCAACCTCCCTGCCAAAGCAGGTTCCCTACACCAGGTCACACAAGTAGGCGTCCAGGCGGGTCTTGAATATCTCCAGAGAAGGAGACTCCACAACCTCCCTGGGCAGCCTGTTCCAGTGCTCCGTCACCCTCACCGTAAAGAAGTTCTTGCGCACATTGGTGCGGAACTTCCTATGCTCCAGCTTCTGGCCGTTTCCCCTTGTCCTGTCTCCGCACACTGCTGAAAACAGTCTGGCCTCGCCACTCTGCCCCCCACACCTTAGATATTTCTAGACCTGGATCAGGTCCCCTCTCAGTCTTCTTTTCTCAAAGCTAAACAGACCCAGCTCACTCAGCCTTTCTTCACAGGGGAGATGCTCCAGGCCCTTCACCATCTTTGTGGCCCTCCGCTCGCTAAGAGATCCCTGTGTTTTTTGTACTGGGGAGCCCAGAACTGGACACAGTACTCCAGATGAGGCCTTACCAGGGCAGAGTAGAGGGGGAGGATCACCTCCCTCCACCTGCTGGCCACACTCTTTTTAATGAACCCCAGAATGCCATTGGCCTTTTTGCCCACATGGGCACACTGCTGGCTCATGGCCAACCTGTTGTCCACCAGGACACCCAGGTCCCTCTCTTACAGAGCTCCTCTCCAGCAGGTCATCCCCCAACCTGTACGGGTGCATGCAATTATTCTTTTCCAGATGCAAGACTCTACACTTGCTTTTGTTAAACCTCATCTGATTTCTTACTGCCCAGCTCTCCAGCCTGTCCAGGTCTCGCTGAATGGCAGCACAGCCTTCAAGTGTGTCAGCCAATCCTCCCAACTTCGCATCATCAGCAAACTTGCTGAGGGTGGCCACTATCCCCTCATCAAGGTCACTGATGAAGCTGTTGAACAAGAGCAGACCCAGCACCGACCCCTGAAAAACACTGCTGGTTACAGGTCTCCAACTGGACTCTGCACCACCAATGACAACCCTCCATGCTCTGCCAGTCAGCCAATTCTCAACCCACCTCACTGTTCACTCATCTATCCCACATTTCCTCAGCTTTATTATAAGGATGTCGTGGGAGACAGTATTAAATACCTTGTTGAAATCAAGGTATACTACATCCACTGCTCTTCCCCCATCCAGCCAGCCAGTGACAACATCGTAGAAGGCTACCAGGTTGGTCAAGCACGACCTCCCCCTGGTGAACCCATGCTGACTACTCCTGATAACCTCCTTCTCTTCCAGTTATCTGGAGATGGCATCCAGCACAAGCTGTTCCATCACTTTTCTAGGGACAGAGGTGAGGCTGACTGGCCTGTAGTGAGCAAGCAAAGTGCATT